CAAGTTATAACTGGAGACACAAATATTGCGGACTGTTTTAATCAGTATTTTTCATTCATCGGTTGTAAACTGTCGAAAAATGTCCAAAATATTAATGTTGACCCTATGACATTTGTCACTCCTACGGAGAGTTCGTTTCATTTTTTATGTATTTCAGTCCAAGAGACTTTTGACGCCTTAAACCAACTTAATTCAAGGAAATCACCAGGACTGGACGGCATAAGTGTAAAACTATTAAAAGATACAAGCGATGTTATCGCGCAACCATTAGCCAACATCTTTAATCTATCTCTTCAGACTGCAATTTTTCCGGACGAGTGGAAAATCGACAAGGTATCACCAGTCTTTAAAGAAGGGAATAAAACTGATTGTGGAAATTATAGACCAATCTCTGTAATTTCTGTGGTTGCTAAGCTGTTTGAAGGGCTAGTGTACAATCAATTGAGAACGTTTATTGCCGACAATAGCATTCTTGTAGAGCAACAGTCCGGTTTTCGTTCACAGCACTCTACTGAGACGGCACTCTTAGGTTCGACAAATGAGTGGTTATATAACATGGACAGTGGCTTAATCAATGGAGTCCTGTTCTTGGACTTGAAAAAAGCTTTTGACACTGTCGACCATGAAATCTTATTACAGAAACTTCACCTATACGGCATAAAAGAAACTACTTACGCATGGTTTTAATCTTACATCCAAAATAGGAAATCGATTTGTTTAATGAATGGGAAAAAATCACATGCTAGAGAAATTAGGTGTGGGGTACCACAAGGTTCTAACCTTGGCCCCATCCTATTCCTCTTGTATATTAACGATCTACCTAAGTGTCTAGAAACAACCAAGGCTAACTTGTTTGCTGATGACACAAATCTTTCGTGTGCCGGCTTAGATGCCATTGAAATCGAGACTAAACTTAAAAGAGATCTTGAGAATGTTCATAGTTGGCTTAGATGTAACAAGCTCACGCTAAACGATAGCAAAACGGAATTTATGATAATTGGCTCTAGACATCATCTTACTAAATTTGAAGACAACCCAGAGATTTCATTAGCCATACGAGATAATAATATTAAACGGGTCACCAATAAAAAATCTCTTGGTTTTATCATCGACCATCAATTAAAGTGGGGTATACACATTGACGCACAATGTAAAAAAATCTCAAAAAATATTGCATTACTAAGAAGAGCCAAGTCCTTTGTTCCTTTACACATTCTAATCAAAATGTATAATGCTCTAGTATCTCCTCACCTGACATATTGCTCAACAATATGGAATAATGGATCTAATACCATTCTTAACAAACTCTCTAAGTTACAAAGAAGAGCAGCTCGGGTTATCACAGGACAATCATACGATGTTCGTTCCACTCAAATACTAGAAAGTCTCAATTGGATGCCAATTGAAGACATTTTAAAGAAAAGAGAAATCATTATGACGTTTAAAGCTTTAACTAACAGACTACCTGATTATGTGCAGAATTTCTTCACGAGATGCGAAAATAGTAATTATTCTCTAAGAAGCAATAATGTTAAACTATATATCTTTGCCTAAACCAAGAACCAACTTTCTTAAAAGAAGTTTCTCTTATAGAGCAGCACAAGGGTGGAACGAATTATCGGATGAAGTAACTAATAACATTCAGGATTTATCTTTACCCAATTTCAAAAGGCGTTTAGCCCTTAAACTTGCACATGAATAATGTATAATGCATTTCCGAAATTAATGGAGTGTGTAATAATTATGTGCTGTAATTAACTGCAAATATCCATAGTTAATGTGTGTTTAATACTATATAGCACGGCCCTTTGAAAAACAGATTGTATATATTATACTGAATAGGCTACCGTGTTAAAAGAAATTTTATTAAAGATTAAAGATTAAAGATAGATCGGAAGTAATTTAAGCAGGCCTTTCGTTGTCACACGAGCAGGTGTGATATGTCATTTACATATCACTCTATTTTAGTTGAAATGATCAAAACTGAAACGCAGACAGTATGAATACGCCAATCTCGAAGCGCTCTAACCAACTGAGCTATAGAATCCTGTTGTCGAACGCAAACCGCAAGTCCATGTGTATATATACTAAGGTGATGCCAATCTAGAGGATTTTGGGCAATTGCTGGAATTTTTCTCAACTGCTCCTGGTTAGGGCCGGTTAGGTATAAAAAAATCTATAAAAGTGACATTCGAAATTTCCATCTACAAAACCCATCAGTAATTAATTCTATCGAGTACCTATTATGAGGAAGTTGTCGCTGTTCGCAAAGGATTAAAGGAGGTGCGAAGTGTCAAAATGGACGGGCATTCTATATCATAATAATGATCCCGACGAATAAATAGTTGCAAAACTATACCTGCGCGTGCGATCAACTGTACCCCTAGTGTTGATCCGCAATCACAAGTTAGTCACGATCAGCTACAATTTTGCACTGAGAACTTAACCTTGAAGCAGGGAAGTAAAGCATCAAAAGACCTGATGATATATACGTATGTGTATGTATATCAAATTTCTCTGTGATTCCTCACTTATAAAATATAACCCAGTATCATTCGTGATGACAATTAAAACATATGTAGTTGAAACTTGAATATATGAAAACGTTTTCTGAATTGCCGTTGTTTGTATTTTGTAAAGATTCTGAGTGGATTTTTCAGAATCTTCAATACTGTAAGTAAAATACATGGAATAAAATACACAGATATAGCTTTCTGAATGTAAATATGGCATCTGCCAGCAGAAAACGAGCTTCTTTACATGCAGAACATATAAAGCCATGGCCCATGGCGAGATTTGTTTTTGTAACTAAAAAAGAGGCGAAATAAACGAAATACACTAAACGAGCTTACAAACTAAGACAGAGAAAAGAGAGAGAAATACACGGCATTGAGTAACTTTCAATATCACGCGAAAAATTATTAATTATTGTCGTAATAGATTTTTTGAAGTTTAGTAAATTTCGTGTCCGCATGTCCGCGTTTTCCACTTGACTTGCGTGTCCGCATGTCCGCGTTTTCCACTTGACTTGCGTGTCTGCATGTCCGCGTTTTCCACTTGACTTGCGTGCCCGCGTGTCCGCGTTTTCCACTTGACTTGTCCGCATGTCCGCGTTTTCCACCTAACCCTCAAACTGTATCCTGTGCTGCGGGATTCAAACAATTCACGGAGAGATAATACGGAGTTAACTCATTAAGAGGACATTTTTTACAAAATCGCGTATTGGGCGCTCAAAACCAATCAGATGCTAGAATGAGAAATTGATCGAATGAATCGGGTGATAACATGGCGGCCAGTTCATATATCGTGTGAGTACTTCACTGCTTGTTTTTACACGATAACAATTGGATTTTCATATAATTTTCTCAAATAACATAAGTATACTATGGGTTTATGCGCGATATACCAAGTCACGGGTGACGTCACAAGTCAAGAGTGACGTCACACCAATAGGAGATAATAGAGTTATATCATTTCGTCTTGTTCTTTGGTTTTTAAATTATAGTTTTAGCTACCTACTGTATTTCTTTTGGATCTTCAGGCTTTTTGGCTGGTGCATTTGGATCGTTTCTTTTTTGTATATCATTTGGATCGTTTGCTTTTTGTAGATCATTTGGATCATTTGCTTTTTGTGGATCATTTGGATCATTTGTTTTTGTAGATCATTTGGATCATTTGTTTTTGTAGATCATTTGGATCATTTGCTTTTTGTGGATCATTTGGATCATTTGCCTTTTGTGGATCATTTGGATCATTTGCCTTTTGTGGATCATTTGGATCATTTGCTTTTTGTGGATCATTTGGATCATTTGCCTTTTGTGGATCATTTGGATCATTTGCTTTCTGTGGATCATTTAGATCATTTGCCTTTTGTGGATCATTTGGATCATTTGCTTTTTGTGGATCATTTGGATCATTTGCTTTTTGTGGATCATTTGGATCATTTGCTTTTTGTGGATCATTTGCCTTTTGTGGATCATTTGGATCATTTGCCATTCAAGCGGCCAGGACAAAAATCAAACTTGCGCGTACGGCGCATCCAGCATTATATAAACAATTAGTCATCTGTAGCTACTATTGCGGTGCAAGGGACGTTTAAGCGATAAATAGTATTATTCAAAATAAAGCTTTTTATATAAACGTTTGGTTGCTTTCGTGCGATAAACGAAACTAGACTGGGGTCCGTTAAATTAATTTATTTATACAGATCTAATTACATGTGTTCGAAGCTTTCAACACAACACTGGCACTGCTATTAAACGAAAATATCGCTAAACTACAAATTTAACGACCGGAAAATATTTGCGTAACAGCGTTAGATTAGCAAGCTATTTTCGTTAGTTTCAAACTAAAAGAACGTAGTCAGCGTCTATGAGGATGATTGTGTGGCATATGTGCAGCCTTGCAGTGTTTCCAGTGACATGTTTACAGCTTTGCAGTGTTTCCGGTGTGTGAGCGACAGTTTCCAAACACAATATGTATGTTTTGTCTTGAGGTAGGCCGGCATTTGATTGTTCCTGTGAAGTTGTAAGCATGGCAGAGATCGATCAGGAGTTATTGACGGTAAATAACTTAGACGATATTGAAAGAGAGCTAGGGGCAAATCCGTTTCCTTGGACGGACGTTTGCACGGAAGAAATAATGCAGTGGTTAGATTGCTACAGCATTTGTCACCGAACAGCCAAGGAAGTTTTACTCATGGTGATGATGACAACAACAAGTTCTCTTTTGGGTAACTCTACCATCAGAGTATACGATAACGACCCTTTCGAAGAGAAAGCTAATCTCCATACGATTGTGATCGGGCCGTCAGGAATTGGTAAATCCCCTGCTGCACGCCATGGCTGTCGTTTACCATTAACGGAGCATCTTGAAACGAAGGTCAACAAAATAATGTGGACTGACGAACCAACAGAAAATGGCTTGTTTAATTTCTTTGTAAGCAACGATAATGTTGTTCCCATGCTCTGTATCGACGAAGCGACCGAATTTCTTCGACGGACGGTTTCACAGAAGGGACGAAAAGGGCTACTCGAAATGAGCCGAATGTGTAAGTTGTACGACGGCGACTCTTGGTTCATGCTAAAAGGTACGAAAGGAAAGAGGAGTGGCGTCTCCGAAGCGCGTTGTTCGTTTCTGGCCTTGTGTACTGCTAAAGAATTCTTAGAAAGTATATGGCCTGTAGCAATCGCGGCGAAAAACGGCTTTCCAGATCGAATTCTCCTCTATTACAAATTCGAAAGTCATAGGGCAACACTCAGCGATGTTGGAGAAAAACTGAATAAGCTAAGACAAGAATACGGTTCGCTCCAGAATCTCAACGGTGTGTTCGAAGATATTTATACACGACACAACTCGGGTTCCTCAATTAAATACACGCTTTCCAACGAAGCGAAAGAAATTTACATCAAGCACGTCGACGAGGCAATTCCAAGCCAGGAGAGCAATACCAGAAACAGTTCGAGTTGCAACCACAAAGTTCAAAGGAACATTCTGAAAGTGGCCTTAAACCTTCATGTGCTATACAACCGCATCACCAACGTGTTAGATGGTCAATCCAACCAAATTCCTGTGCGTATTTCTGTCCACACCATGAATAATGCAATTGCGTTGATCGAATTCCTAAAACGGATGCGAGCAATATCGGAATTGGTAAGTTTGGCTTTATTTTTATATATTTACTTTCTCAAACTCGTGCACCAACTGGTTGAGAAAAGCACTAAATAAATTACTATAGACTTCAGTATTTAGTTTTCTTCACAAGGAATGTGACCCTTTATATTAGGTTCTTAAATAAATTTGAGAGTGTCGCATCTTGTTGTATTGTAATTAATGAAAACTCTCGATTGTAGGAAACACACAAGTCTATAACAGAGAAAAATCGTTCTCAACGTTTCGAGCAAAGGCCCTTTAGTCATGGAGAATTAGTAGGGAGGGCCTTTGCTCGAAAGGTCGATAATGATTTTCCTACAATCAAGAGTTTCCTGTCAATGCCGCAGCCAGGTACCCTGGTTCCAGAGGTTTATTTTTATTATTTCATTGCAAAGGGGAGAGGGAAAATAAACTTCTGGTTGAAAGCGGCAATTGATTCATCGAGCCGTGCCAATCAGTTTGAATTAGGGTCAGATCCTGACTCTGTCTCCTGATTGGATGATTGTATTAAAGCTCTCTGATTGATTCAAATAAAACATCTATAACCAATCAGAGAGCTTTAATACAATCATCCAATCAGGAGGCAGAGTCAGGATCTGACCCTAATTCAAACTGATTGATGCGGCTCGATGAATCAATTGCCGCTTTCAACCAGAGGTTTATTTTAAACCTCTGGAACCAGGGTACAGCCAGGCTGATCAATACATAATAGTACCAACAAATACATGCAATTTGGCATCACTTTCTTTCTTACTCCCATTCAACAAAAGCATCAACATATTTGGAGTTGACCTACATTTGCTTTTTTTTAGTGCTGCCAAATAAAATCACATTGCAAAGTAATCCTTGGCCTTACTGAGTTTGAGTTGAAGACAAGGATAATGAAGGTTCCTGGTCCTTTCTTTTCAAAAAGAAGGATATACAATTCAGTTTCCTCTGCAGACAGGCCCACACCAGCCAAAGTCCAAGAAGTTTTCCATCACTTTCAAACGAGTCTCTTGGTGCTGTTGTGAGAGTGAGGAGAGGTGTGTTTTTTTATAAAGCATTCCCTCAAGAAATCAATGAAACCACACTGGCAAAGTATCGCATCTCACCTGAAGAGTACCGGCAATGTTATTTCAGTGATGATAGCCACATTACGGATGACCAGAAATTGTACATGGAAACACATCATCCTCGTGCAGAAGAATATCAGTTATTGCAAAATGGACCAGCTGAGTGACTTAGTCAATATGTGATTGTAATACTTCATAATTGTTATAGATCTTAATGAACATTGAACATTGAACACAATAAGGTTAATTAAACTGGCAACAGTGATCATGATTTATCTGAAATTAAAATATCTAATGTTATTGTTATTGTTACTATAAATAGCAAGGGAAAACATTTAATTTTATCTTTTTATATAAACAAAAAAATGTGATAGTTTTTATTATTTTCATCAACAATCAAAAGTGGTTTAATTTGCAACTTCAGATTGCATTATACAAGTATGTTGTTTTCCTCAATTAATGATTTTTGCATAACCGAATCCTTATCTTTGATATTTATAGCAGCGAAAATTCCAAACGTAAAAATTTAAATACCGTTGCATGCTTGCAACTAAGGATGAACGGTTGCTGATAAAAGTTTAATGTTTTTACAGAGGAAGTTCAATGTTTGTCAAGAGCACTTGACAGGTTTAGTATGATCAGCCAATCATGTTCAACCAGCTCCAAGGTGACTGGCTGAGGGAATTGAAACGTCAAATGTCAGATCATCACAAACATTAAACTTTCCCGGTAAAAAACATTAAACTTTGTCATGAGAATAGACAATGTTTTATCTGCAACCGTTCATCCTTAGGTGCAAGCAAGGGTATAACACCACGAATGGTAAAGTCTAAATTTGTCAACTCAATGTCCATATATGTATATATATAGCTCAAGTTTTGGTTTACAAAACACAAATTTATAGTGCTCAATACCATATAGATGGAGTGTAATATAGTTTTTTGTCTTACCTCAAAAAACCACAACAGTCTGTTTCATCCTTTATGGGAATTGTCAGCTTCCCATACAGAAGATTCTCCTATACAGACCACCTGAAAGCTGAAGATTCCCATACACGGATGAAACGGACTGTATATTTATGCGCCAATCAATTTGTACTGTTAACATTCCCCACCGGGCATAATTCACCAGATTGATACTTTAAATACTTTTTGGAAACTTTATAAAGCATGAGGTGTAAGTTTTTTAATACATAGTTTCATTTATTAAACTGTTGAAGTTACCTTCAGAATTCAGTGTATGTTTTCACACAATTCCAAACTTGAACTGATTGGCGCATTATCTATTTATCTCTGTATATATATTACATTTACCTTGATAAAGTTTTACTCTTTGCTCGTTGAAGCTCTCGCGATCCATAAGACCAAATTACACGACGATAAAGACGTTTTTAGTATAAAAAATAATAATTTTAAAGTTATAGCATTATATTTTAAATCTCGAAATTGATCAATTGACATGTCAACGAGTGACCGAGATTTCAATTTGGTCCTGGGTACGAGGTTGTAGTACTGTACACCAATGGATAAACGTGTACAATAATGGTTCTTTCTTGCAATGACGTCATATGTGCATGCAACATGCCATCAGTGAATGCCATACATTTTAAAAATAAAATAATAGAGTTTTCAGTTTTTCCTGTGGTTTTTCCCTTTATATATGGTTTTTACCTTGGTTGTAAAATTGAATTTTGGTTGGAAGTATTTTAAATTGGAGAGAATCTGAAGATGGAACTTGTGTTGCCTATAGTGCCTGTTGTAGCTACAAGTACAAAGCCACGCTCAACCAGACTGCAGAGTTTGTGCAAGGCGAATCTTGGGTGTGTAAAACGAAAATTCAGGTGTGCAGATTCAGGTGAAGTGTGCACATTGAATACAACATTGCTAAATAGGATGTTTAAATATCCAAATTAGAACTTCTTTTCACTCTGAAAACTCACTGTTTCCTTTGGTACAAGTGATAATTAAAGCATGTCAATGATATACTAGTAGTCTAGTACCAATATACCAGTAAACAAGTGATTAATATAAAAATATAATTGTTATTCTTTAATATTTTACAGACAGAGTGCAGATTTGGAAAATTATTAAAACAGTTGCTAAACATAGCAGTATAACTTGTGCAGTCCAAAGTGTCATTGATTTAGAAGTGTAACAGCTGGTAATGTCCAAAATATAGTTAATTAGTCACTGTATTTATAGTTAACTATTATCATTATAGTCCAAATTAAGTTGTTGTTTAAGCATTATTCTAAATGCAGCTCGATCTCTCAGAAACATATCTACCTTCAATTTAATATCCTTAAGTGAAGGCCAAGAAGTATTTTGGTATGAAGAAATCTCTTTAAACAAATGAAGTACACTGTCATAGTCAGGTATACAGTTATCGTCAACACCAACAACAATGTTTGTGACCTGTTGTAATAGGTAGTTGTCATAGTCAGTCCATTTTGCCAATGGCACTGGCTCACCTCTTCTGTGCAGGAAGTCAGCAGAGGATTCTGGGGTGTCATGGTGTCTTTTCCTTTTTCTCGCCATCTTAGATTGTAAAGACTTTGTCTGGTTGCTACCATATGGGTTACCACAGTTAAAACACTTGCACAAATTACCACATCCTTGCATATTCTGGAAACATTTGCATCTGGAACCATAAGCCTTACAAAATTCCTTGGATTTATCGTTCGCCCCACCTCTGCCACAACTACATTTCTGTGTCTGACCAACTTCTTCATGATACACACTGTCTTCCTGGAGATACACTGCATCATAGTGTCCTTTACCAAAATGTGTAAATGCAACATAAAGAGGAATGGACGATAATGTCTCGTGTCGTGGGAGAAGAGGTATAACTGGATAGTTGGTTATGGATGTAAAACATACAATGGAGCATTTCAACACATTTACTAATGCCAGCAAAACACCATTACCCAGTTCACAGTCAAAAAAACCTTGATCTAGGAATTGGTTTGCCATTTCTTCATAACATTCTTGCTCTGAATTTACAAGAAACATCAGATATTCTTTGCTGTTTTCACCAAGGAACTCAGCAACAACAAGTGATCGCAGTATCATTACCCTATCAGAAATGTCCTGTCCTTTATAGAAACCAAGGGAATTCAAGTGGGTACAAAGATTTTCTTGGTTTCCTTCCTCAAGAAAAATCTCCATTCCAATGCCAACTGCTAAAAAACAACAATCTCCATTTCCTGCTACCTTTCGTCTTATAAATCCGTAATTTTTAAGAATGCCATCTACACTTTCCTCTTTTTCTTCCTGATGCAGAACTTCAAAACTTGGATTTGAAAAAAGCAGCAAAACAGAATTTGAAAAAATCCATAAATTCTTATCAGCAGTAATTGGTGCTTTGGCTTTTTTGAAGACGCTAGTGGCGATATTAGCCATAGCATTGGCTCTATTTTTTAGACTTTCGGAATTTTCTTTTGCAAATGTTTCAGTATCATCATTATCTAAATGTACACTCTCATCACTGCTGTAGTCGTCAGATAGAGCACGATTCCCCAAAAGACTGCCATCGTCTGAAATAAGATCAATTTCTTCTTCCATCAAGTTCAAGTTCAGATTTGAATTATTTAATCCAAACTTTTCATTTGAAAGCTGACCTCCATTGGCTAAAAAATTTCCATACCACCGAGTCACAGGAACAACTATCTTTGATGATCTCTTTTTAACACATTTGCTATTTTGTTCCATGTGAATATAGAAAATAGTTGTCAAAAGTGCAACAGCTAGAGAAACTCCCATACGACTTCGACTCAACCACTTTCTTAACTTTCGATGAAGGCGTTCATTTCTGTTGGTCCCAATACCAGGTGGAATATCAGATAAACATCCCAGTCTAATATGAACAAGCAATTTTTCAATTTCGTCATGTGCTAACACAGGAAATATTTTAGTTTTCTCCACTTCTTCGTCTTTCCACTTTTGTTTAAATATTTCAATATTTCTTTCAATTATGGTTGGTGATGGTGTCATTTCTTTCCTTTCATCACCAACATCACTTAATTGCCGAAAACATAGTCGCAAGTCCTTTATTAATTGTTTGCGTAGTCTTTTAACCATTGCATTTCCACTCCGCTTAGGAATTTGTTTTACAATTCTCTGTATGCCGTGAAATAGATCCAGTTTTATTATGACATTGGGGCCAAATATATCTTTAAGTTTGTTCTTCAATATACAACAGTTATCCACAATAATCCCATCAAATGTATCCACAATAATCCCATCAGAAGCACTTTCAAGCCTCACAAGCCGGTTTTTTAATCCTTCTAACAGTTTTTGTACATTATTCAGTGCAGTGCCTTTTGTCAGCTGCCATCCAAGTATATCGCTTTTTTCATTCATAACAATAAATAGACAGTCATATAATTTTCTCCAAGTTCCATGTTCCCAATAACCAATATTAGAAGTCACTTTAAAGGTATGGTCAAATGATATCCAACTTCCACGTGTTTGGGCCATATACTGTGTATACATATGTTCTGTTTCAAAAAAGGCCCGAACAAATACTTTAGATATCAATTTTCGTCCAATAAAATCTTTTCCGATCGTATATAATGGATTGTATATATCCCTGTTGTGGTCAATATTTCGGGTGGATGTTGGCGTGTTATGTAGCATGGACTGCCTCGAGGAATGTAAGTTTATTAACATAATTTCAACATCTTCTATAGTTATTCCAGTTTGAATAGTGATGCCTATATAATCGAAGAGATCTCTTGTAACACCAGACTTATGAAATAGTACAAAAGGAATTTGAATTTGTTTTCTGACTTCCTTAAGGATTTGTGGATCATGGGAAACGATTTGATGATTTCTTTCACACAAATACACAGACGAAACCAAGAGAACACGCTCTTGAATACAAAATAAGTTCCTTGGATTGTCCCTGTCGTTGCTACCATCTTTCCATTTCCAGTGCCTTAGTGCAGAGTGACAATTGGGGCATGTTAGTTGACCAAAGTTGTTTGTATGAGACAGTGGGTTCCACAAGATGACTGAAGGAATAACGTCGTTTATTATGTTTGAAGAGAAAGGGCTACCTTCTGGGCTAATACGAACTTGCGTTTCATCTCGATTTTTCTCGCAATTCGCAATGCATAACTTGATAAAATTTAACCACGACTTCTCTATGGCACCAACACAGGGCGAATTTGACAAATAGCACGTTAAAATGCATAAAAACCACAAACAACAAGTTACTTTTCTTGCCATATTCGAAAGACATCTAAAGAATCACTTAGTCGCTAGTGTTCATGATCACATACATGTGTGATTAAGAATCCAATACATAACTATTGTGTTTCGACACTGTCATTCACACACCGGAAACACTGCAAGGCTGCACATATGCCACACAATCATCCTCATAGACGCTGACTACGTTCGTTTAGTTTGAAACTAACGAAAATAGCTTGCTAATCTGATGCTGTTACGCAAATATTTTCTGTTCGTTAAATTTGTAGTTTAGCGATATTTTCAGTATTTTTGTCGTTTAATATCAGTGTTGTGTTGAAAGCTTCGAACACATGTAATTAGATCTGTATAAATAAATTAATTTAACGGACCCCAGTCTAGTTTCGTTTATCGCACGAAAGCAACCAAACGTTTATATAAAAAGCTTTATTTTGAATAATACTATTTATCGCTTAAATGTCCCTTGCACCGCAATAGTAGCTACAGATGACTAATTGTTTATATAATGCTGGATGCGCCGTACGCGCAAGTTTGATTTTTGTTCTGGCGGCTTGAATGGCAAATGATCCAAATGATCCACAAAAGGCAAATGATCCACAAAAAGCAAATGATCCAAATGATCCACAAAAAGCAAATGATCCAAATGATCCACAAAAGCAAATGATCCAAATGATCCACAAAAGGCAAATGATCCAAATGATCCACAAAAGGCAAATGATCCAAATGATCCACAAAAAGCAAATGATCCAAATGATCTACAAAAACAAATGATCCAAATGATCTACAAAAACAAATGATCCAAATGATCCACAAAAAGCAAATGATCCAAATGATCTACAAAAAGCAAACGATCCAAATGATATACAAAAAAGAAACGATCCAAATGCACCAGCCAAAAAGCCTGAAGATCCAAAAGAAATACAGTAGGTAGCTAAAACTATAATTTAAAAACCAAAGAACAAGACGAAATGATATAACTCTATTATCTCCTATTGGTGTGACGTCACTCTTGACTTGTGACGTCACCCGTGACTTGGTATATGCATAAACCAAATGCGGCGCTCATTCGGGGGCGGCGCTCAATAAGGCGGCGCTCAAACGAGTAAATACGGTACTCTTTACAAAAAGTTTAAAAATTATGCTTGGAAGGCTACTTTGGCAAAAAAGTCCACGTTTCGTGAGTCGCCTGTTGGACTTTTAAAAACAACCATCCTGCAATCGAAAATCTACTTTTCGAAATAAGTTTAGTGGTAAATTAGATGCAAGCAGACCCCAAATAACTAGCCATGCTTGCAGAAAATTAGCACAAATTTTGCACCACTTGCAGTTTAGTGAATATTTTCGAACTATACAGTTTTGTATACACCCTGTATACCCTTTTCTTTCGATCCGTTTGCTACTTGCTTTAAACACAATAGAACAACTTTGTCGTAGGAAGTATGTAGGAACAAGTGACTTGTTTAAGTTACATTTACCATAAAAAAGCCACAGCCTTCATGTTGACATGCCTCTACGTGAAAAACCCACAATTTACAAAGAACGGGGTTGTGATGGACCAGAAGGGGGAGGGGGCTGGTGTTGAGATGAAGTAAATTCGCCAGATTTCCTAGGGGAGCTGCATGGGGGCATTGGAAATCACGTAGGTACGCTTAAAACTGTGACAATGTGCAAGCCGAAAGCACTTTCATAGCTAATATATATGTTTCACCATTCGAAATTGATAATTTTGGGCAAGCCAATGGAATTTTCACGTAAGATATATCCTAATTAACCTTGCATGCAATGATAGTATACCCAGCTGAGCATGTACGCAACTATTAGTATTTATTATAATTAGTACTAGTGTACCAATTTCCCAAACCAGGTGCGAATGTGCATTTGCGCTCAGTGTGATGAAAATTATCGGGGGCTGTGAAGTCCTCCTCCCCCAGCACCCCACCCTGCGCTTGTGTGGTCCCCGCGTGTGTAATGTATGATTTGATTATTCATAATGAAAAAGTGCTTCCGATTCTCCCCGAAGTATACATTTTCATCTCGTTATATCCTGACACACCCGGTTTCTTACCTTCAGTACATACAATTACGTGACTTGGAATTCGAAGTATTCAGGATCAGGCGGGATTCCGGTTATTAGGGTAAATGTTATATGAGAATGTTATGAGACACAGTGTGTATATAAAAGGTAATCTAGCTTTAGAGGGTCATGTTCTTGTCCTATATAAATATTGACTGCACAGTTCTAATATTCTTAGATTAAAAAAAGATTAGGATTTTAGCTTTCGAATAACACTTTTTTCTACCATTTGAAGCAAAATGACCAAATACGAGCCGATTGAAAATTGACGGTTGAAATCAGATTTTCCCCAATCACATTTTTGCAGGACAAAAGGAAAAAGAATTTATCTCTCATTAGACTGCGAGCGGTCCCTCCTTTCCACAGGTATAGCTTCATGGGCGTACGAGAGGAAAGGAGGGACTGCCGACAACACATCAAAATTCGAAATACGCCCACTTTTCGTTCTTGTCAAGTTGTTCCGTCTTTGCATAAACATTACTTATATCCAATTAAATCGATCCAACATTCAGTATGAAAATCATTTATGGCATAATTATTACATATCAGACTTGATTGACAGGCACATCGATTTCGACCAATGGGAACTTTGCGTTGTGCACAGACAACGCGTATTTCGTTTCTTGATGGTTGTCGGAAGCTCCTCCTTTCTCCCGAGCCCTGATCGAGGGACTGTTCGCTGTCTAATCTCTCATAAGCCGTGTTTACACTACGAGCCTAAGCCTGGCCTAGGCCTAGCTTTGAACTAGATTTTTTCAGTGTAAACGCACTTCGGGTTGGCCTAGGCCAGGAAATCTAGGCCACCTGTTCTGATGGGCCCAGATGTCCTGGCCTAGACCAGACCGAAGTGCGTTTACACAATTAACAAAAATCTAGTCCAAATGTAGGCCCAGGCCAGGCTTAGGCTCGTAGTGTAAACACGGCTATAGTACGTCTCGTGTGTCATGACAAACAATGAGCTAAAACAGAAAAAATATGAATTTTTTGATTCTGATGAGATTAACTTTCATGAATTTTTAGCCAGAAAAACGCGATTTCCACCACTAATTTGTACTCGATTTGTATTTGGCCATTTTCTCTTATATAATGACACAATATTACGTCACAAAAGTCCCGAAGGGGTAGCGGAAGTGAAAACCCTGAGTATCAGATTGATAAATTTTGTTGCTGTGTAAACTATTTATCGGTAAACTCCATATCTAACGCACGTCTACATGCTGAAGTTGGATTACCTTTATTGATGCACCATGTACTATAAAATAAATTCCCTAATATAATTCCTTTTTATTATTTCGCCACACGTTACATGAAGTAAAGCGTTTGCGCTGACGTCATCTGATCTGGTTGACCAACCTGGAATGCGAAGCCGGGAAATCGCGAGACCGGAAGTCTGATGCATTTCCTGTAGGTAGTATGATTTGGGAAGCTCCGTGGATCAAAATCGTTTGTCAAGAGCGGGTGAAATATATTGGCAATTTTTGGACTGTTTGCCGTTGTAAACGGCCATGGAATCGTTCTTCGAAGTGGTATGATTTATTACATATAGTTTACATTCAATTATATAATTTCTTATGAAATTTATTCCTGGCAGTAGAAATATTCGGCATCGCTTGCTTCATAACAATTCCAATACATAAATTTGTGAATATTTCCCCCCAACATATTATAAAATGGCTTTGTTACTTTCGTTGTTCGGTGATCTAGGGCAATCGAGTTTGGATTTTAGATAACAAAGAATGGCTGCCTACTGTGGTAGAGACTGTTCAAGACGGCAAAGTGTCATTTCGAACCGAATATGGCAAGGTGTGTATAGTTTATTAAGTGTCATAGTTTGTAGCATACAAGTGTTATATTTCGATAGTAAAGTGTGCGATGTTATAGTAATAAAGCGGGGACCTATATGCATTATATATTTGCGACATATCGTGCTATATAATTGCCTTGGCCGCCCCTATAATTTCTTGCGTGTTGAAACAAAAGAAATAAAGTGATATCTGTCTGATCGTGTCGGAAGAGCCCTCAACAGGTGGAGATCTTTTGTGTTTACGTTTTGAAATTATATTTGCACGTTTTGTTTTCATAATGAGCACGTTGAATGTATGCATTTCACTTCCGCGCATTGTAGCAAGTTAATTTCAAACGTTCCGATTGGCTAGCTAATTATTGCTGGGCTAGCTAATTATTGCTGGGCTAGCTAATTATTGCTGGGCTTTCCTTGAGCTTTTCAAAGTTTCAAAATAAGTACAAGAAAAAAGATTACGAAGTTCTTAAAGTCTTGAAAGTGGCACTGGAATTTTACATATTTTTAAATGTCAAACATTTTTGAAATTGGGAGTGGTTGGGTACACAATTAAAGAACTTGGGTAAATATCTAATGTTTGAGCTGCAATGATTAAAATACCAATGTCCTGCAAACATTAAAATTTGTCAATCCAAGAAAAATAACCGACTCGTTAACTATTTGTAAGATAATGGCATGGATAAT